GATCTCTATGAGTTCAAGGCCAGCCTGGTTTACATAGTGAGTTCCAGGACAGCTGGGGCTACAGGGAGACCCAGTCTCAAAAAGACCAAAATACACACACACTCACACACACACACACACACACACACACACACACAGAGTTGTTATTGATGGCTAGAGAAAACTATTTTGTTTTGATGTTTTAAAAAATATTTATTTTTATTTATGTATTTGAGTGTTTTGCTTGCATGTGTGTAGGTGCACCACATGCATGCAGTGTCTGTGGAGGCCAAAAGAGAGCTTCGCATCCCTAGGAACAGGTGTTACATATGGTTGTTAGCTGCCATGTGGGTGCTGGGAACTGAACCTGGGTCCTCCGGAAGAACAGTCAGTGCTCTTAACCACTGAACCATCCCTCCAGCCTGGTTTTTACATTTATTTATATACATGCATGCATGTGTGTGCACATGTGTGCGTGTGTGTGTATGAGTGTGTGCACACGAGGCCATGTGCACATGCAGAGGTCAGAAGAGAACTCTTGGGAGGTGGTTCTTTCTTTCCAACATGTGGGTTCCAGGGATGGAATTTAAGTCATCGGGCTTCCCAGCAAGCGCCTCTACCCACTGAGCCATATCACCAGCTCAGTGTTGTTGGTTTGCTTATTATTATTATTGCTTTGTTTTTTTTTTGAGACAGGGGCTCCTGTAGCCCAGGCTGACCTTGAGCTTGCTATGTAGCCCATGCTGGCTTTGAAATTGTAGCAGTTGGGGCTGGAGAGATGGCTCAGTGGTTAAGAATACTGACTGCTTTTGCAGAGGACCCAGGTTTGATTCCCAGCATCCACATGGTGGTTAACCATCTGTAGCTCCAGTTCCAGGGGATCTGACACCTTCTGACCTCCGTGGGTGTTGCATGACACGAGTGCACTTACATACATGCAGGCAGTACACTCATACACATAAATAAAAATAAGTAACTAAAAAGAACTTGCAGCAATCTTCCTGCCTTAACCTCTGAAGTTCTGGAATTACAGACACAAGCCACCACACCAAACGCTCTTGAGCAGGAGGCCTGTCTCCTTTATAATCTATAATGTACCCACAACGGCATCTCCCTGCCCTGGAGCCCAGGGCTGAGCATGGATCTCAAGATATGTGGTGTGATTTGAGCCTTTGTCTCTCAAAACCTTTTTTGGTAAGGCACTCTCATTCAGCAGCCCCAAGGCTAATAATTGTGCTGGATAGCTTTCGTTGTCAGCCTGCACACCTGGGTGGAGGGAACCTCAACTGGGGAATTTCCTCCATTGAACTGGCCGGTGGTCTTGTCTGTACGGCATTTTCTTAATTGTTCAGTGATGCGGGAGGGCCCAGCCCAGTGTGGGTGATGCCACCCCTGGGCAGGTGGGCCTGTGTTGTGTGAAAGCAGGCCCAGCACAGGTCAGAGGAGCAAGCCAGTGAGCAGCTTTCCTCCATGGTCTGTGCTCCAAGTTCCAGCCCTGAGTTCCTGCCTTGGCATCCCTTGATGATGGACTGTGTGCTGTAAGCTAAATAAACTCTTTCCTCCTCAAGTTGGTTTTGGTCAGTGGGTTTTTTTTGTTTATTTGGTTGGTTTTGTTTGTTTGTTTGTTTTTGGTCTTTTTGAGACAGGGTCTCCCTGTAGCCCCAGCTGTCCTGGAACTCACTGTGTAGACCAGGTTGGCCTTGAACTCACAGAGATCTGCCTGCCTGTGCCCCTGCCTCCCAAGTGATGGGATTAAAGGCGTGCGCCACCATGCCCAGCTTGGTCAGTGTTTTTAATCACAGAAACAGAAAGCTAACTGTAAGACACTGATACCTCTATTTGAATTCCCAGGTATCACTGACCTTTGAGGATGTGGCCGTGGCCTTCACTCAGGAGGAGTGGAGGCAGCTGGACCCTGTTCAAAAGACCCTGTACCAGGAGGTGATGATGGAAATCTCTGAGCTCCTGATCTCTCTGGGTAAGGCCTTCTTACTCAACTTTTTACATTTATTTGTTCATTTTGTATTTGGTGGGACGGGGACAAGTTGCAGAAATTAATTTTTTTTTCTTACACCATTTGGGTCCTGGGGCTTGAACTCAGATCGCCAGGCGTGGTGGAAAATGAGCCATCTCACTCGCCCTCCATTTTTTTTTTTTTTTTTTAAAGGCAGGGTATCACTGCAACTCAACTGACCTGGAACTTACTATGTGGTCCAGACTGACCTCAAAGTCATAGATAGTCCTCTTGCCTTTCCCATGAGTGCTGGGATTACACACACACACACACACACACACACACACACACGCACGCACGCACGCACGCACACACGCACACACGCAAATGTAGGTAGGTAGATGACAGATAGATAGATAGATAGATAGATAGATAGATAGATAGATAGATCGATAGATGATAGATAGTCAGTCTCTTTTTTAGGAGGTCCTCTGTCTCACCCTGATGGCCTCATCCCACATCCCACCTGTTTATTTTGCCCCGGGCTCACTCTGCTGCAGTCTTCCTGGGGCTTTGCTGTTTCTGCACACGCTGCCCATCCTGCTCCCCGTCAGGACAGCACACGATGTTTTCCTTTGCTTAGGGAGTATTCCAGAGTAATGAAAGTGCTTGCAATGGCGCCCTTTCTCACCACAGTCAGCATCTTCTTGCAGAGATCTTTCCTGAATGTTAAATATTCAGGCTGGTGAGACAGCTCAGCAGGTAAAGGAGCTTGCCACCAAGCCAGATGACCCAAGTTCAATCCTCAGGACACATATGGTGAAAGGGGAGAACTGACTCCCACAAGCTGTCCTCTGACCTCCACATGCCTCACAGAGACAAAAAGTAAATGTTTAAAATGTTACCAAAGGTTTTCTTTTTAAACTGAAATGCTGCAGTGTGATCTCTGAGGGTGCCCCAACCTGGGCCTTAGTGTAATCTCTGGGATGCCCCAACCTGGGCCCTTCAGACATGAATCTTCCTGTATCAGGCCCTATCGCCAGCATCTCCCACTCAGTCTCCTCTGCTGACCCCTCAGGGCTGTTCGCCTCCCACTCCACTGTATGGTATTTGGGGATCCAGAGTCTGCAGCCAAGTCCTTGGGTGTCCTGCCCCAGCTTTGTTCCTTAAAACCGTGTGGCTCTGAGTGCTTATCCAATGCCTCTGAGCCACAGTGTGCTCACTGCTCAAACGTGGAATTGCCATGTAGCTCTTTGCAGGACTCTTGTCCCTGTAAATAGGTTGTTACAGGAAAAGGATTCAGAGCCATGCTGGACTACAGCTGTGTGTGGCACTGGGATCCTTCCTGAGAGCTGCCTAGTCAGGCCTGGCTACACCTTCTGGGCAGTGTCATGGGGTTGTAGGATTAAACCACACACAGCACAGAGGTGACTGGGACTAGGATTCTATCTCCATTCAGCCATACCCCCCCATGATCAAGCCTTGGCCTTGGTTTGTCCATCTGTAAAATAGTTCTGATATGTTTGAACTCCCTGGGGATGCTGTGGGAAAATTTTCAGATAGAATCCACATTGAGTCTGTGACCTACAGGAAGAGCACTTCTGTCGCCCTCCTCTCTCTCTCTCTCTCTCTCTCTCTCTCTCGGTCCTCTTGGCATAAGGCCCTGATTCCCAACATCTGCCTCTCTTTCTCCTTTCTCTCTCTCTCTCTCTCTCTCTCTCTCTCTCTCTCTCTCTCTCTCTCTCTCCCTCTCCCTCTCTTTCTCTCTCTCTCAGGCCTCACTGTATGTAGCACAGACTAGCCTCATATTTGCAGTGATCCTCCTGCCTCAGCCTCCCAGGTGCTGGACTTAAAAGCATATGCCACCATGCCCATCTTCAAACGCTACATAGCATCTAAGTAAACGCCTCCATCAGGAGAGACACAGTGCTGTGGTTTCCCAGGCTTATTTGTGTGGGGGATTATGGTGTCGAGATGGTGGGACCTTTAAAAGGTTAGGCTTAGGGTCAGAAATGTAGCTCAGTGTCACAGTGCTTGTGCCTGTAAAATGTAAGGTAATTAGGTCAGAGGGTACTGCTCTTTCCAACTGTTGTGGCTTCATTTATGTTGCTGTGATAAATATCCTGACAAAAAGGCAACATGAATGCCTTTAATCCCAGCCCTTGGGAGGCAGAGGCAGGCCGATCTCTGCAACCTGCAGAGGAAGGTTTTCTTTGACTTACAGTTCTAAGTTACAGTCCATCATTGGGGGGAAGCCAAGGCCAGGACTTCAAACTAGACACATTACCTCCACAGTGGAGAGGAGAGATAAGCGTGTGCATGCTCACTTGTCTGTGCTCAGCTTGATTTCTCCATGCTGACCCTGTTCAGGACCCCTGCCTAGGGAATGGTGCCCCTCACAGTGGGCTGGGTCCTCCCACATCTGTTAACTTAATCAAGACAGTCTTCCACAGACATGCCCACAGGCCAACCCAATGTTGACAGTCTTCCACAGAGACTCTTCCCAGGTAATGTTGGGTTGTGTTAGGTTGACAGTTAAAGCCAACCACGACAGGAATTAACATAATCCTTCCTCACTATTCGTGTGGGACCCCAGTTAGTTCCTATGGGAGTGACTGGCCCTTTCCTGCGCTCTAACTTCCTGTCTTGTTATGGGACCCCTCTTCCGCCAGCCTGCTCCCACTTATCATCCAATATGAGAATGAACCAGTGGGGGGTTATTTGAGCCTAGTCCATCCGTCTTCAGAAGTGAGCTAGGTAGACCTGTTATCTTAACATTCATTCTTTACATTATCATATGTTTGCTACAGCAGAACATGGACTAATACAGATAACTTATTTGGGTTTTTGCTGTTGTTTGTTTTTGAGATAGATTTTCTCTGTAACCCAGGCTTGCCTGAAATGCACTATGTAGCCCATGCTGGCCTCTAACTGGCAGTCCTTCCTCAACCTCTTGAATGCTGGGATCTCAGATGAGTGCCCCCATAGCTGGTGTGATGTAGTACATTTTAAATGATTGCTGTGTTCTCTTGGGTATAGCTGTACCATACACTTAGGGGTTTCTTTTTTAAATTTGTTTACACGTTTACTTATTTTGTGTGTGTGTGTGCCTCTGCATACATACCCATGCATGCACAATGTGCATGTGGTGGTCACAAGACAACTTGAGAGTCACTTCTCTCCGCTGTTGAGTCTCTGAGTTTGAACTCAGGTTGTCAGGCTTGGCAGCAGATGCCTTTACACCCGGAGCCATCGCGGCAGCCCAGTCTTAGTTTCTATTGGAATGCTTAATATGGCATGGCATGCTTGGAGTTTCCAAGTTACACGTCGCCTTTTTGTGTCGCTAGATGCAGCTTCGTTCCAGGGTCCAGTGCAAATCCAGGTGAAACTGGGGTCTTTGTCTCTCTTCACCAAAGTCCAAGTGTGCACTTTTTGTTCTCCTGAAGGGTATCCTGCTCCCAAACCAGAGCTGGTGAGCCAGCTGGAACGTGGGCAGGAGCTGCGGACAGTGGTGAAGTCCCTCTCCCAAAGCACCTGCACAGGTAAGAGTTCAGATCTGGACTTGGGGGGGGGGGCCTCCAGGTTTGGACCTGGAATTCCCTGGGAAGATTCCTGTTTAAAAAAAAAAAAAAAATTGTCGTTTGATTGGTTGGCTGGTTGTTTTTGAGACACGGTCTCACTATGTAGCACTGGCTATCCCAGAACTTTCTATGTAGCTCTAAAGATTTATTTCTATGTTTATTTATGTGTATAGCTGTGTGAGTATATGGTGTGTGTGTGTGTGTGTGTGTGTGTGTGTTGCCCTTGAGGACCAGAAGAGAGGATCTGGTAGTGACGCTATAGGAAGAACAGCATGTGCTCTTAACCTCTGAGCCATCTCTCCAGCCCCCTGGAAAGCCTCTTCTATCATATCAGGATTTGGAGCTGCGGAGCCTTGTGGTCTGTGGCTCTTCTGATACCCTAACTCCATCCCTTTATCACTGTTCCTGGGAAGGAGTCAGGTTCATAAGCTGCTGTCTCAGGACTGTAGCTGAATGAAAATGAAACCTGTCTTTTCTGTCACCAGCTCTGTGGTCCTTGTGAAGTCGAATGATCTTGAGTTTTTTAAATAAGAGTGATTGTCAGTCCAACCTCTTGGTGGCTCAGCATATAACTATTTTCTCACTCATTTCAATGTCTGGGTCAGCTGAGAGTTGTATACCCCACAGTTGGTCATGGACTCATACACCTCACATCAGCCAGTTGCTTTAAGTTATTCTGCCATCCTGTAGCTGACCCAGGATTGAGAGAGGAAGGGATATCATACCCACTTCTAAGAACACCAGTTCTATTCGCAAGAAGTAGGCATTTGGCCACCCTGGAGTCCACAGGGGCTAGGATGTGTGACTGAGCTATATGTCCAAGAACAGATCCTTTCTCAACATCTGTCAGTCGCCTGCTCCCAAACAGTCTCTGAAAATTGATGGCAATATTTTGCTGTTGGGTTCCATTGGAGAGGATATAGTCCCCTGATGTGTTAATATATTAAGCAGCAGCATCTGCTATAGAGGGTAATGCATCTAAAGCCTTATCATTTATCATTCCCTGAACACTATGAGAATCTCAGTACACCTGTGCAGCCCACATGAAAGGTGGGGTGTGTGTGACTTCTGACTCGTATTAGTCATATGTATTGGTCTTTTTGAGACAGGGTCTCCCTGTAGCCCCAGCTGTCCTGGAACTCACTATGTAGACTAGGCTGGTAGTGACCCCTGACAGGTCTTCCTCTATCTGCTGACTCAGTGACCCCTGACAGGTCTTCCTCTATCTGCTGACTCAGTGACCCCTGACAGGTCTTCCTCTATCTGCTGACTCAGTGACCCCTGACAGGTCTTCCTCTATCTGCTGACTCAGTGACCCCTGACAGGTCTTCCTCTATCTGCTGACTCAGTGACCCCTGACAGGTCTTCCTCTATCTGCTGACTCAGTGACCCCTGACAGGTCTTCCTCTATCTGCTGACTCAGTGACCCCTGACAGGTCTTCCTCTATCTGCTGACTCAGTGACCCCTGACAGGTCTTCCTCTATCTGCTGACTCAGTGACCCCTGACAGGTCTTCCTCTATCTGCTGACTCAGTGACCCCTGACAGGTCTTCCTCTATCTGCTGACTCAGTGACCCCTGACAGGTCTTCCTCTATCTGCTGACTCAGTGACCCCTGACAGGTCTTCCTCTATCTGCTGACTCAGTGACCCCTGACAGGTCTTCCTCTATCTGCTGACTCAGTGACCCCTGACAGGTCTTCCTCTATCTGCTGACTCAGTGACCCCCTGACAGATCTTCCTGTGTCTGCTGACTCAGTGACCCCTGACAGGTCTTCCTCATCTGCTGACTCAGTGACCCCCTGACAGACCTTCCTCTATCTGCTGACTCAGTGACCCCTGACAGGTCTTCCTCTATCTGCTGACTCAGTGACCCCCTGACAGATCTTCCTCTATCTGCTGACTCAGTGACCCCCTGACAGATCTTCCTCTATCTGCTGACTCAGTGACCCCCTGACAGATCTTCCTCTATCTGCTGACTCAGTGACCCCCTGACAGATCTTCCTCTATCTGCTGACTCAGTGACCCCCTGACAGATCTTCCTCTATCTGCTGACTCAGTGACCCCCTGACAGATCTTCCTCTATCTGCTGACTCAGTGACCCCCTGACAGATCTTCCTCTATCTGCTGACTCAGTGACCCCCTGACAGATCTTCCTCTATCTGCTGACTCAGTGACCCCCTGACAGATCTTCCTCTATCTGCTGACTCAGTGACCCCCTGACAGATCTTCCTCTATCTGCTGACTCAGTGACCCCCTGACAGATCTTCCTCTATCTGCTGACTCAGTGACCCCCTGACAGATCTTCCTCTATCTGCTGACTCAGTGACCCCCTGACAGATCTTCCTCTATCTGCTGACTCAGTGACCCCCTGACAGATCTTCCTCTATCTGCTGACTCAGTGACCCCCTGACAGATCTTCCTCTATCTGCTGACTCAGTGACCCCCTGACAGATCTTCCTCTATCTGCTGACTCAGTGACCCCCTGACAGATCTTCCTCTATCTGCTGACTCAGTGACCCCCTGACAGATCTTCCTCTATCTGCTGACTCAGTGACCCCCTGACAGATCTTCCTCTATCTGCTGACTCAGTGACCCCCTGACAGATCTTCCTCTATCTGCTGACTCAGTGACCCCCTGACAGATCTTCCTCTATCTGCTGACTCAGTGACCCCCTGACAGATCTTCCTCTATCTGCTGACTCAGTGACCCCCTGACAGATCTTCCTCTATCTGCTGACTCAGTGACCCCCTGACAGATCTTCCTCTATCTGCTGACTCAGTGACCCCCTGACAGATCTTCCTCTATCTGCTGACTCAGTGACCCCCTGACAGATCTTCCTCTATCTGCTGACTCAGTGACCCCCTGACAGGTGTTCCTCTATTTGCTGACTCAGTGTCTCCCTACCAGGTCTTCCTCATCTGCAGACTCAGTGTCTCCTTTAGGTCTCTCTTTCAAATATATGGAATCCAAGGACCAAGAACAAAAAGAGTTGCCAACCTAGGCTTCAGGGATAATATGCAGGTGCAGAGGCATTTAGCTTCATTTTTTCCAGTAGCATAACCATTTTGTTCCATAGTGCCCTTACTGACAGATGCTGTGTGTTAAATTTGTTTCAGGTGACAATGCAAAAACCAAGGCCACAGGATCTACTACTTGGGAGCCAAAACTGTTGGAGGGAGCCCGGCTCCAGGAACAGCTAACACAAGGAACCTCAGGAGACTCACAGTGGGTGCAGGCCAGGCACCAAGATGGCCCATTAGAAGTGCAAGAAGAAGTCTCTGGACAAGAGATAGAGGCTCAGAGGGAGAATCTTCCTGGGAAAATGAGCCCTGCACGGGATGGTGTAGGGAAAGCTAAGGGAATGTATCCAACGGTCTTACAGGAGGAAGAGGAAAATAGCTTCAAATGCAGCGACTGTGGGAAGGTGTTTAATAAGAAACACCTCCTTGCTGGACATGAGAAAATCCACTCTGGAGTGAAGCCCTATGAGTGTACAGAGTGTGGAAAGACCTTCATTAAGAGTACTCACCTTCTTCAGCATCAGATGATCCACACAGGGGAGAGGCCCTATGAGTGCCTGGAGTGTGGGAAGGCCTTCAACCGCAAATCCTACCTTACACAGCACCAGCGGATCCACAGTGGGGAGAAGCCTTATAAGTGCAGTGAGTGTGGAAAAGCCTTCACCCACCGCTCCAATTTTGTCTTGCACAGCAGGAGACATACTGGAGAGAAATCGTTCGTGTGTACAGAATGTGGCCAAGTCTTTCGACATAGGGGAGGTTTCCTTAGGCACTATGTCGTTCATGGTGGAGAGAATCCATACGAATGCTTTGAATGTGGACAGGTCTTCAAACACAGGTCATACCTCCTGTGGCACCAGCAGACTCACACCGGAAAGAAGCCTTATGAATGCAGCGAATGTGGGAAAGTCTTCCTAGAGAGCGCAGCCCTGATCCACCACTATGTCATCCACACTGGCGAGAAGCCCTTTGAGTGCCTCGACTGTGGGAAAGCTTTCAACCACAGGTCGTACCTCAAGAGACACCAGCGCATTCACACCGGGGAGAAGCCTTTTGTTTGCAGTGAGTGTGGGAAAGCCTTCACCCACTGCTCTACTTTCATCTTGCATAAAAGGGCCCATACTGGAGAAAAACCCTTTGAGTGCAAAGAATGTGGGAAAGCCTTTACCAATCGGAAAGACCTCATTCGCCACTTCAGCATCCACACAGGAGAGAAGCCCTATGAGTGTGTGGAGTGTGGGAAGGCCTTTGCCCGCATGTCAGGCCTCACGAGGCACAAGCGGATTCATAGTGGAGAAAAGCCTTTTGAATGTGTTGAGTGTGGGAAATCCTTCTGTTGGAGCACAAACCTCATTCGACATGCCATCATCCACACTGGGGAGAAGCCGTATAAGTGCGGTGAATGTGGAAAAACCTTCAGCCGCAGCTCATCCCTCACTCAGCATCAAAGGATGCACAGTGGGAGAAACCCCACCAGTGAAACAGACAAGGGAAGAGCCTTCACAAGTACGCATGCCTCAGTCACCCTCCGAGAACTCCTTCTGGGGAAGGACTTCTTGACTGTAACCACTGAAGGAAATCTTTTGCCACAGGAAACATCTTCCTCAGCATCTGATCGTTTATGCCAAAGAGAAACTCCACAACTGTCCTGACTCTGAGAAAACCTGTTGCAGAATATTGCTTTGTCGTCTGAAAACTAACTTTAGCAGTAGACTCAGCCTACAGCCTTATTCTCCCTCCGAGAATTCAGGAGAGAGATGCAGTGGGGTTTTTGCTTGTTTTGCACATAAGAAAACCTTCAGCCACATCTCTCTCTTAGTTTACAGTGAAATGTTACCTCAGGAATTGTTTTACAAGGGGAAGATGCATAAGAAAATAAAAACAGGTCTCTTAAGACTTCTCTGCTAACCCTGTGGCACTTTGTGATTGATTTCTCGGTTTGTTTGGAATGAGGGGAGTATGTCAGAGGTAAAAAGCTTTTCTCAAGTCTTCTGTATTCATTCATTGCTGTTATCAGGAGAGTTAACTGAAGGCAAGTCTGTAAACGCTTACCTGTCAACATTTTCTGGGTCATGTAATAGTTCATTCTTGAGATCCATAACTTTATGAGGAATGGAGGGGTTTGAGCCATGAAAACACTTCATACTTAAGGGAATAAGGATAGATGAATGGATCCAACGTACTGCAACAGTTAATTAAGGCTATTTAAGGCTTGGTGTTTCCCAAAGAAATAAATCATTTCTTCACATGATTTTAAAAACCTTACACTCAAGCCAGGAGTGGTGGCATACTCCTTTAATCCCAGCACTTGGCAGGCAAAGACAGGCGGATCTCTGTGAGTTCAAGGCCAGCTTGGTCTACATAGGGAGTTCCAGGCCAACTGGGTCTACAGGGAGACCCTGTCTGAAAAAGACCAAAAAAAAAAAAAAAAAAAAGCCAAAACCCTAACAACTCAAGTTGGGCATGTTGGTGTAGTCCTCTAATCTCACCATCTTTGGAGACAGGAAGGAGGTCCATGTGTTTGAGACCAGCCTGGACTACATCAGAAGACCCTGTCCTTAAGAGAAAGACTTTCTTGGCCCTGATCTGTCAGGTGCTGTACCTGCGTGGCAAATCTTCAAACCAGCCAAACCGATTCTATTCTTATAAAACTATGTAGCATTTCTAGTTCCTTTAACTTTTCATATAAACTATAGGGTAAATTTGCCTTTTATTTTTTATTTTTTGGACTTTCTGAGACAAGCTTTCCCTGTAACCCCAGCTGGCCTGGAACTCACTATGTACTACGCCTCTAGAGGACTGTTGGTATTTGGTGGGGATACGTTATTTTGTTTTTTCATGTTATTATTCTTTATCTGAGATTTTGACATGTGAATTTCTTTTGTAGTTTCTGATTCTTGTGTGAGACTCAAGCTTTCAAGTTTAGGTCTGCTTCAGTTTGTAAACTTTATGTGCCTTTGTGGTTTACTTTTTGGGCATGAAAAGCTGGTTCCTCTAAGCTTCCGGTTCTCTCTTTTGATTTTATATTGGAGTGGCCAGATTGCTTTTGTCTTCAGGAGTTCCCACAGAGGCCCAAGTCAGATGAGGATGAGATGCTCTCAGGCTTTCTCCTAAGGTCTGGATCCCTCCAGGAAAGATGTTGTCCTCAGGAATTTTGGAGTTGGACTGGCCTGGGAGCAGGGCCCAGGAAAGATGCTGGTCTCGGGCAGCTGGTGGCCATGCCACCCAGAGATGCAAAGAGAGATGGGTGAGGGAAGAGGCCCCAAGAGCTCCTGGGGACCAGAAGAGAGGCCAGCGGGTCATGCAGGCCCAGGGAAGCAGCGTGTATGAGTGTTTTGCCTGCATGAATGTAAGTGCATCTGTGTTGTGCAGTGCCCAAGGAGGTCAGAAGAGGGTATCAGATCCCCTGGAACTGGAGTCACTGACTGTAGTTAGCCACCATGTGGGTGCTGGGAATTAAACCAGGTCATCTACAGGAACAGCCAGTATTCTTAACCACTGAGCCATCTCCCCAGGCCCTGTAGATTAATTTTTTGAGACTCCATGTCTTTACTGTGGTTAACCTTCCATTTCATGACTGCGCCTCATGGATTTAAGCATGCCTCCATTTTCTTGCCATCTTAGAATTTTTAGCATTTAGATCTTTTGCACACTGCTTGATCTTAACCAGGAGAAACCCATCGAACCTGCACATTGGTGATAGCACACACACCTGGGTGGCTTTTATGTTCACTTGTTTGTTATTTTTGTAAATTGCATTTACAAGTGACATTACTGTGTAAACTCAATTTCCATATGATACTTGGTAGAATGCAGGAATATAGTGTGCATGAGGGTGTGTGTGCACCCTGGAGTGCAGCTTAGTGGTGTGTGCACCCTGGAGTGCAGCTTAGTGGCAGAATACATGGCAGTAGCATTTGGGTTTTTAGTGTTTTGTTGATCAGGCTAGAACTCCCAGCATAGCCTTGAACAAGAGCAGTGAGAAAGGCTGTCTTAATTTTTTTTTTTTTGGTCTTTTTGAGACAGGGTCTCCTTGTAGCCCCAGCTGGCCTGGAACTCACTATATAGACAAGGCTGGCCTTGAACTCACAGAGATCCACCTGCCTCTGCTTCTAGAGTGTTAGGATTAAAGGTGAGCACCACCACACCTGGCCAGGTGATTCCCTTTGAAGGCATTTCACTTTTGACAGTCTGGTTTTCTCCAAACCCATGTTCCCAAGAGGAACACATCTCATTTCCTTTGCCCATTGGTCATCCATCCACACCCCGCCTCTAGCCATAGAGATACTACCTGCACATGTAGTCTTGTAGCCATGGGAATGAGCCCATAATAATCAGCACAGGTAACCATGGTATTACACTGTATTAGATGCTGTTTTGAATGTTTTCCATGCATCAACTTTTAACAGCTCTAAATGATAGGACTATTATTTAATAATTTTACAGATCGAGACACTTTGTAGTAGAAGGTGGACTTGGCTTCAAGAGTGCACATTTGAGTCTTGAGTTTCAGGAGAGGAGACTTTGCAGACAGGCTCCGGAGTCCTGTACTGCCTCTCGTAGGTGGGGCTTGGTGCTCCTGATAAGCATCTCTGTGTTTTAAAGCATACCAAACAGTGAGTATCAGTCTCTAGTCTGTTTCTTCTGTTTGTGTCTTGGGCATTCCTTCATGTTCGGTAAGATAAACCACACTTTTGCGGGGGGATAGGGTTGCTTGGTTTTATTTTTTGAGACAAGGTTCTTTTTTTAGATTTTTAAATTATTTTTAATTATGTGTAAATATGTGTAGGTATGTGCACATGAGTGCAGGTCCCCACAGAGGCCAGAAGAGGGCATTGGATCCCCTGGACCTGGAGTTACCAGCAGTCGTGAGCCACCTGATAAGGGTGCTGGAAAGTGAACTGGGAACTCCAGAAGAGCAGCAAGCCCTCTTAACTGCTAAGCCATCTCCCCTGCTCTCCAAACTTTGGCCATATTATCTGTTGAGGAAAGGCGGGGGGCGGGGGGGTGAGAATGTCCAGGGCGTGCATGTAGTTTTGTTTTGTTTGTTTTTTGTCTTTTTGACACAGGGTCTCCCTGTAGCCCCAGCTGGTCTGGAACTCCCTATGTAGACCAGGCTGGCCTCAAACTCGAACTCACAGAGATCCTCCTGACTCTGCCTCCCAAAGGCTGTGGCCACCTGGCACATGTAGTTTTGGGGGGGGTTCTTTTTTTTTTGTCTTTTTTTTCTTTTGAGACAAGGTCTCCCTGGAGCCCCAACTGTCCTGGAACTCACTATGTAGACCAGGCTGGTCTTGAACTCACAGAGATCCTCCTGCCTCTGCCTCCCAAGTGTTGGGACTACAGGCATGTGCCACCACGCCTGGCAACATCTAGTTATTTCTTTATGTACCTGAAAAACATCTCTGAATCTTGCCCACCTCTGCTTCCCCCAACCCCAGACCATACACATTGCAACCATCCCTCTTTTTTTATTGGCCCCATCTCCCCCATGTCCAGCCCCAGCCCTTGACCTGCTCCTTCTAACTTTTCATTCCCCGGTAGCTCTTTAATGCACCTGTGTTTTGGTGAATGGTCACTACACACCAGGGTATTTTCATAAGTTTTGTTCCCCTGCAACATGTTTACTACTGAGCTGTGTATGCATAGGAAGCACCACACAGCACTCACGTTGACCTTGAAGTGAGCCTGTGTATGCTTTCATGGACAGGTAGACCTGCTTTTACAGATCATAGTGAATAGCTGGAACTTGCTATGTAGACCAGGCTGCTCTCAAACTTGAAGAAATCCACCGGCCTCTACCTCTGCAGAAAGGGAACTAAGGGCATGTGCCACCACACCTGGCTTTAGTATTTGTTTTTATGCTGTTTTGGCAAAAAGGATCTTTCTGATCCCCAAATGATTACACCTCCCAAGGTAAGCCCAGCTTTCATAAAGGAGTAAGAAGTTTGGGGCAAGATGGCTCAGGGTAAAGGAGTTTACTGCCAAACCTGATGACTTGAGTTCAATCCCACATGGTGGAAGGAAAACAATGAATCCAACATGTCCTCTGACCTGCACACATGCTGGGACATGTGTATGCACACATACATTAAATAAGTAATAAAAATTTTAAACTGGGACTGGGGATATAGCTCAGTTGGTAGAGCATGTGTCTAGCATGCACAAACAAATAAACTAGGCAAGGAGGCACCTACAATCCCAGCCTTGAGGAAGCAGAGGAAGGAGGATCAGGAGTTCAAGGTCATCCTCTCCTATGTTGTGAGTTTGGGGCCAAGCTGGGCTACATGAGATCCTTTCTCGAAAAAGAAAAAAGGTTAGTGAGATGGGTCAGTAGGTTAAGCTCTTGCTTCAAAAGCCTGGTGAATCGACTCCCACAGGTTGTCCTCTAACCCCCCACATATGCGCTGTGGCACGCACATACACACCCCTACACACACCCACACACAACACAAAATGCAATAATTTTTAAAAATTTTATTATTTTTATGTGTACGCATGTATTGCTTGCATGTAGGTGAGTGCACCCATGTTGTGCAATGCCCTTGGAGGTCAGAAGAGACTATTGGATCCCATGGGATTGGAATTATGGACAATTGTTAGCTGCCATGTAGGTGCTGGGATTCAAACCCGGGTCTTCTGCAAGAACAACCAGTGTTCTTAACTGCTGAGCCATCTCTCCAGCCCCAAAATGCAATAATTTTTAAAAATAAAATGAGGTGCTGGAGAGATGGCTAAGAGGTTAAGAGCACTGGCTGTTATTGCAGAGGATCTGGGTTCGATTCCAAGCACCCACATGACAGCTAACAGCTGTCCTTAACTCCAGTTCCAGGGGCTCAACACCCTCTTCTGACATCCACGAGCATTGCACGACACGGGTGCACTTAACATTTCATGCAGGCAATACACTCATACACAAAAATAAAAATAATAAAAATTTAAAAAATAAAAAAAGTGAAACAGTTTGCCCTGGGTGTGGTGGCACATGCCTTTAATCCCAGCACTTGGGAGGCAGAGGCAAGCAGATCTTTGTGAGTTAAAGGCCAGCCTGGTCTACGTAGTGAGTTCCAGGACAGCTGGGGCTACAAAGAGACCCTGTCTCAAAGAAGACAAAAAAAAACAAAAAAACAGTTTGCTACCTTTGTGGAGAGATTTTCTGATCTGTTCATGACAGCAGTTTTCAGACCATAAATCATCTTGGTTTTTGGAAAAGTTTCTCTAGATTAGGAAATTTTGTTTTCGATTATTCTGCAATAATTTGTTCTGTTTCGGTCTAAATGAACTCAATTTGAAGTGTTTGAAAGGTCTTTATATATGGAGACTGAACATACAAATTGATTACAGGATCCGATAAATACGTAAGTGAGTGGAAGCTAGGGATAAATGAAGTGGGGTCACTGCCATGGTGTAGTCTTGGAGAGGGCACCATGGGGTAGGTGAGTGGGTTGGGGGAGGACAGCCACGAAACAGTGGGGAGTTAGACAGAAACCTCAGAGAACTCCATGTCCCTCACACCTTGCATGGCAGATGTGGAGACTTTTCTAAAATTTTATGAGTGTTTTGCCTGCATGTACATATGTAATTGCACCACTTGTGTGCAGTGCCTGAGGAGGCCATAAAGGGGGGTCAGATCTGGAATTGGAATTACAGACAGTTGTTTTCTGCCATGTGGGTGCTGAATTTTGAACCAGGGTCCTCTGCCAGTGCTTTTAACCTCTGAGCCACTTCTCCAGTCCCTGATGTGGAGACCTTCAAGTCTGGCATGGTTGATGAGGTGATTCTGAAATCTGGCATAGCTGATGGGGTGACCCTCAAGTCTGGCATGGCTGATGGGGTGACCCTCAAGTCTGCCATGGTTGGTGCAGGGTTCTTGCAGGGTTGATGCAGTAACCCTTAGATCTTGTATGATTGATGTGGTGACTCGCAGGTCTTGCATGGTTGATGGGATGGCTCTCAAATCTGGCATGGTTGATGCTGTGACCCGCAAGTTCTGCTTGGTCGATGCGGTGACCCTTACGTCTGTGCTCCAGTAGGACCCCGGTAAACGTCCTGTATGGACACAGCGTGGAAGCAGGGTCTGGTTGGATGACTGTGTGGTGTCAGGCTTTGAGGGCTGCACGGGGGTTTCCCAGGGGTCCTGAGGTTGACTGATGTCCATTTGTAAGTGCACTCGCACACTCACCGGCTCGTGTAGAGCTTAAAGGACCTCAGCGCACCCAACTGATCCTCTTTCCTGGAGGCCCGGGTGTCCCCACCTGGACAGAAGCCCTGCCCCGCCCCCGCCATCCTATTGGTTGAGCGCCTTGGGACGGAAGCACTAGCTTCTCACGCCCCTACTGGGCACGCCGCGGGCACGTCCGAAAGCTCATCCAATGGGGGCCGACCGGAGGCTGCCAGCCCCGCCCACCGCGGGAGGCGCGCACTGCAAACGGCTTCCCCGCACGGTGCCGGGCGTTGCCCCGCTATGGACCGTGCGTGCACCGGGAGCCCAGTGGGCACCGCGGGCCCCGTGGAACCTTCCAAGGGCCCCGAGCGGGACCCGCCCACCCACTTCCGGGAGCCTCCGGACCCGAGTAGCCAGCCGGTCTTCCGGTCGCCCTTACCGCCCATCAAAACTTCGGGAGAGACTCTGACGTCGCCTGACGCAGCTCCGCTCACAGGTGAGAGTGCTGGGAACCTGGACCCTGAGGCCGAGGCAGGAGGGTCCGGTAGAGGCTAACCCGGGCTACGTAGTGAGCCCTTGTGTTAAAACAGAAACAGGACACTAGGCAGAGGCGGGGCAGAAAGGGCTGGGGTCCCCTATGGGGTGGAGTGTATGGGTGTTGAAAACATTCCCCGCTCAATTTCTCTGTCTCCCTCTTTTCCTCCCCTTTCCTTCCCTTCTTTCCTCCCTCTCCCTTCCTCCGCTTTCTTTCCCTTCCTTCCCCTCTTCGTCTCCTCGCCCCCTCCCCTCCCCTTTCAGCCTAGGTGGGTTGTAGTTGCCTTGTAGCCAAGGGTGACCGTGAACTCCTGACCTTCCTCGGTTCTGGGATTAAGTAGCGTCCACCACCACGCCCATCTCTGTCCCTTAAAAAAAAAAAATCTTTAAAAAAATTTTTTGAAATATTTCATTTATTAGTATTTTTTTAATTTTATGTGCATGAGTCTGCATGTATGTAAGTGCACCAGTGTCATGCAGTGACCGCGGAGGTCAGAAGAGGGCGTTAGATTCCCTGGAACTGTTAGCCCAACTGTTATGTGGGTTCTGGGAATCGAATCCGGGTCCTCTGGAAGAGTAGTCCGTGCTCTTAACCCCTGGGCCATCTCTCCAGCCCCTCTCTCCCTTTCTTTATTTAGCCGCCACCTGCCAAATGCCGCCCAACATCTCCACCACGTGAGTATAAGAAGCTGGGACCCAGGGCTGAGAAGCAAGCTGGGCAAGTGGAGCCTTGGCTCCTGGATACAAGATGCTGTTTTTCTCATTGAACACCCAGGACTGGGGCCTGGAGTAGAGAAAGGAGTTGGGGCGGGGGTGGAGGCAGACTGAAAGGAAGGGAGCATTTGGGGGGCCTAACTCTCCTTTCTGAGGTGAGGTCATTTCTTCCTTCTGTTCAGGCGAATTCTCACCATCAATGACTTTGAAATCGGGCGTCCTCTGGGCAAGGGGAAATTTGGGAACGTGTACCTGGCCAGGCTCAAGGAAAGCCATTTCATTGTGGCCCTGAAGGTCCTCTTCAAGTCCCAGTTAGAGAAGGAGGGATTGGAGCACCAGCTTCGCAGGGAAATCGAGATCCAGGCGCACCTACAGTAAGGATGGTCTGTTGGACTTCCAACTTGAGTGTACAGAAGTTCCTCCCTTTTCCTGGTATGACCTCTGAACTCCGAGTTCCCCATGACCCCTGAATAAGCCCTGTGCTTTTACCTTGAAGATTTCTCTCTGTCCCTCAGTTGCACCATGGTATCATTCTCTCCAATGGGGGCCTGGAGGGATGGCTCAGGGTTGTGGATCTTCCAGAAAACCCAGATTTAGGTTTCCTTGACTCCAGTTCCAGAGGATCCGATTCCCTCTCTGACCTCCAGGGCCATTGCATGCACTGGATGCAGTTTACAAACATACAGGCAAAACATGTACACAAAATAAAAACAAAATTTTTAAATTTATTTTTATTTTATGTGTTTGAGTATTATGCCTGCATGATTTTAGGTGCACCTGTGTTGTGCAGGGCCCACAGAGGCCAGAAGAGGGCATCAGATCCTCTGGAACTGGAGTTACAGGTGTGGGTGCTGGGATTTAAACCCACCCGGGTATTCTGCAAGAACAGCCAGTGCTCTTAACCGGTGAGCCATCTCTGTAGCCCCACAAAATAAAATTTAAAAATTCTCTCCCAGTGTCAGCCACCCCAGTCCTTGGCGTGCATACGTGTGGAAGCCAGGGCTCAGCATCCAGTGTTGCTGGAACTTTTTTTTTGAAGTTCTTTATTCTGAGGAGCAGGGGGCTTGTGGGTCACAGCACACATGTGAAAAACAACTTGCAGGAGTTGGGTCTTTCCTTCCACCATGTGGATTCTGGGGATCAAGCTCAGGGTGTCAGGCTTGGCTGCAAGCACCCTGTCCCTCTGAGCCATCTCATGTGCCCTAATCCTTGCTTTTTTACTCCTTCAGTCACCCTAATATCCTTCATCTGTACAACTACTTCCATGATGCGCGTCGGGTGTACCTAATCCTGGAATATGCTCCAAGGGGTGAGCTTTATAAGGAGCTACAAAGAAACCACACACTGGATGAGCAGCGCACAGCCACGGTGAGAGGGGCTCGTGGCTCTGGAAGTCAAGGGTTTGCTGTGGGATGAAGGGGGAGTTCCTGTTTGTGCCTGCCCACATCTCCCTCACCCCTTTATCCTTTATTATTGTGTGCATGCACCTGTGCCGTCACTCACCTGTGGAAGCCCGGATGACTTGCAGGAGTTGGTTTTCTCTTTCCACTTTCATGTGGGTTTCAGGGATGGAGCTCCAGTCACCAGGCTTGCACATCAAGTTCCTCTACCTGCTGAGCCATCTCTCTGGTCCTCCCCCTTCTTTTCCTGAGACTGAGAGGGGAGGTTGTCTTGTTAGGTAGCAGAGATTAGCCCAGAACCTCCTAGAAAGGCCAAGCTGGCCTGGAAGGTCTGATCCCCCTGCATAAGCATCACAAAGTCTGGGATTATAGGTATGTGCCACCATGGCTGGCTCAGATGGCTTTTCTCGGTTGTTTTTGTTTTGTTTTCTGCTTTTTTTTTTTAATGTGTATGCGTGTATTGCCTGCATGTATGTAAGTGCACCCGTGTTGTGCAATGCCCGTGGAGGAAAGAAGAGGCTGTCAGATCCCCTGGAACTAGAGTTACAGATAGCTGTTAGCTGCCATGTGGGTGCTGGGATTCAAACCCAGGTCCTCTGCAAGAACAGTGTTCTTGACTGCTGAGCCATCTCTCCAGCCCCTGGTTTTTGTCTTTTGAGACAGTGTCTCCCTGCAGCCCCGCTGGCCTGGAACTCGCTATATAGACCAGGCTGCCCTTGAACTCACTGAGATCCACCTCTCGAGTGCTGGGATCAAAGGTGTGTACCACCATGCTGGGAGGTCAGAGAGCATGTCTGCTCCCCTGGAACTGGAGTTACAGATGGTTGTTAGCTGTCATGTGGGTGCTGGAACTGAACCTGGGTCCTCTGCAAGAGCTGCCAGTGCTCTTAACCACTGGGCCATCTCTCCACAGCCCTGGTGTTTTTTTTGTTTGTTTGTTGTTTGGTTTTGGGGGTTTTTTTTTTTTTTTTTTTTTTTTTTTTTGAAAAGGCCCCCTTTACCTATAGCCCCAGCTGTCCTGGAACTCACTAAGTATACCAGGCTGGCCTTGAACTCACAGAGATCTGCCTGCCTCTGCCTCCCGAGTGCTGGGATTAAAGGCATGCACCAGCATGCCCAGCTGTTTTGTTGTTTTTTGTTTTGTTTTGTTTTTAAAGCAGATCTCTAACTGAGGCTGATTTGGAACTCTGTATGTAACCCAGGTTGGCCTTGAAGTTGCAATCCTCCTGCCTCTATCTCCATAGTGCTAGGATTACAGGAGTATGCCACCACCACACCCAGCTCAGATTGGTTTTTTTTTTTTTTTTTTTTTTTTTTTTTTTTTTTTTGGTTTGGTTTTTGAGATGGTCTCACTTTGTAGCCCAGGCTGTCCTTAAACTCCCAGCTGCCCTACTGCCCTGCCTTCAGAGGACTGGAATGACAGACATGTGCCGGCTTCAGTTTGTTTTCATGACAAAAAAGATTTCTGGGATGCTGAGGTGTAGCTCAGAGTATTTGCCTAGTATGTATAAGACCCTGGGTTTGACCTCCAGTACAGTTGAAAATTTGGGAGGCCTTGATGGCTTAGGCAAAGGCATTTGCTACCAAGCCTGATGGCCTGTGTTCAATCCCTTCCCACAAAGTAGAAGGAGAGAATTGACTCCTGAAAGTTACCCTCTGGCCTGCACATGCCTGCTATGGCACAGGTACACATACATATACACACACAGAGTAAATGTAAAAAAAAATAATAATAATTAAAATTATTTTAGCCAGGCATGGTGGTGCACGCCTTTAATCCCAGCACTTGGGAGGCAGAGGCAGGTGGATCTTTGTGAGTTCGAGGCCAGCCTGGTCTACATAGTGAGCTCTAGGCCAGCTGGGGCTACAGGGAAATGCTGTTTCAAAATTATTTTATTTTGCTGGACGTGGTGGTGTACACCTTTAATCCCAGCACTCAGGAGGCAGAGAGGCAGGTGGATCTCTGTGAGTTCAAGGCCAGCCTGGCCTACATAGTTCCAGGCCAACTGGGGCTACAGGGAGACCCTGTCTCAAAAAGACCAAAAAAAAATTATGTGTTTGAGTGTTTTGCCGGCACTTGTGTCATGCAATGCCCAAGAAGGCCAGAAGAGGGCATCAGATCCCCTGGAACTGGAGTTACAGATGGTTGTTAGCCACCATGTAGGTGCTGGGAACTGAACTGTGTCCTCTACAAGAGGAGCCAGTGCTCTTAACTGCTGAGCCATCACTCCAGCCCCTGTGAAACACTTATTTTAAAAAACCAAACAGATTAGTCTCCCTGCAGCCCCAGCTGGCCTGGAACTCACAGAGATCCACCTGCCTCTGCCTCCCTGAGAGACGGTATTAAAGGCATGCATTACCATGCCTGGCTGCATAATAAATTTTTTTTTATATTGTATTATTTTTATTTTATGTGTATTGCCTGCATGTATGTGAGTGCACCTGTGTCGTGCAATGCCACGGAGGTCAGAAGAGGGTGTCAGATTCCCCAGGAACTGGAGTTAAGGACGATTCGTAGCCACCATGTGGGTGCTGGGAATTGAACCTGGGTCCTCTGCAAGAGCAATCAGTGCTCTTAACTGCTGAGCCATCTTTCCAGCCCCATAATAAATATTTTTTAAAAAGAAATGACATTCCACTCCCATCCTGAAATCCCTGAGGCACGTTCTCCATGGTGGGGTCCTGGAGGACTTCCAGATGGCTTGTGTTCACACAGATCATGGAGGAGCTAGCAGATGCTCTGAACTATTGCCATCAGAAGAAGGTGATTCACAGGGATATCAAGCCGGAGAACCTCCTGCTAGGGCTCCGGGGTGAGGTGAAGATTGCGGATTTCGGCTGGTCTGTGCATACCCCTTCTCTCAGGTAGGTCTGGGGGTACCGGGGCAGGACCCTCATGCCAGTGAGGAATTTCCTTGTTGAATTTACTCCCCATGTGAGACCCAGATATAAAGTGTGTTTTGTATTTGAATATTGCCTTTTTCAAAAACAGACATGTAAAATGCATTTGCAGATTTAAAGAATGAGCTAGGGAGGTGGCTCAGTGGCTGAAAGTGCTTCCTGTGTAAGTGTGGGAACCTGAGTTGGAATCCCCTAGGCATGACTGTGTGATTATTGAGGGGCAGAGACAGACAAGTTCCGGAAGCTCTGCGGCCAGCCAGCCTAGCTGAAGTGGTGAGGCTCAGGCTCAGTGAGAGACCATGACTTAAAGGAATCCAGTGGGGAGTGGTAGAGGAAGACATCCAGTGTCCTCCCCTGCACGTGTGTGCTGCAGTTGCAAACGGGTGTGTGCATGCACATACAGTGGAACCAGAGCTTGCTGTTCTAAGCTTTGTTAATATGTAACTTTGCCAATAAGATCCCACGTAAATAAGTGAATTAGCATTGCTTTTTTTTTTTTTTATCTTTTTGAAACGGGGTCTTCCTGTAGTTGCAGCTGGCCTGGAGCTTCCAGGCTGTCCTGGAGCTCCCAGAGATCTACCTGCCTCTGCACTAAAGGCATGTGTCACCGCACCCAGCTAGCATTGCTTCTTAATCCCAGAGGTGAATTTTTCTGTGTGAATAAGCTGACTTGCTTAGTTCCTCTCGACACACCATCACAGTGTTCCAAATCTTTTTCTTTCCTCTCCTCCCTCCCTTCTTCCATCCTCCCTCTTTCTTTCTTTCTCTCTCTCCTTGTCTCCTTCTTTCTTTGTCTTTTGAAATGCTCACTGTGTAATACAGGCTGGCCTTGAACTTGCAACAACCCTTCTGCCTCAGCCTTCTAAATGCTGGGATTATAGGAATGTGCCATCATGTCTGTCTCCCTTTTTTTTTTTTCTTTTTTTTTTTTCAGTCCAGGCTAGCCTTGAACTCCTGACCTTCCTGCCTCAGCCTGCCAACTGCTAGGAGTACAGATGCCACCGCACCCAGCTTCCAAATCTTTATTGATACTGAGAATACTTTTGGTCTTTTGAGACGGAGTCTCCCTGTAGCCCCAACTGGACTGGAACTCACTATGTAATCGAGTCTGGCCCCGATCTCACTGATTTCCTTGTGCTGGGATTAAAGGCGTGTGCCACCATGCCTGGCTCTTTGTTTTTGAGACAAGGTTTCCTCCAGTAGCACTGCCTAGCCTGGAGCTCCAAGTAAATGCCAGACTGACCTCAAACTCACTGGCACTCTTTCTTGCCTCAGCCTCCCAAGTGCTGGGGTCCGAGGCTTGATCCACTCTACCTGCCTGCCTTCTCTGAATCTTTTTTACTTTTAGTCCCTGTGTGTATGCATGTTGGTATGTGTGAGCAAAGGCACACATGTGCTGTGTGTGTGTGTGTGTGCGTGTGCGTGTGTGTGTGTGTGTAGGTCAGAGGACAACCTTGGCTATCAGTCCTCACCTTCAGCCTTGTTGAGACACAGTCTCTTCTTGTTCATTGCTGTATGCACAGGCTAGGTGTGCTTGAGCCTCCCATCTCGACGTAGAGGGCACTGGGAATCAGAACCGAGGTCTTCAAACTTGCACAGCAAACGCTTCACCCACTGAGCCACTTCCCCTGCCCATCTCAATCTTTTTGTTGTTATTGTTGTTTTTTTAAAAATTACTTCTTTTATGGGGCTGGAGAGATGGCTCAGCGGTTAAAAACACTTGCAGAAGACCCGGGTTCGAATTCCAGCACCCACATGGCAGCTAACAACTGTCCGTAACTCCAGTTCCAGGGGATCCTATGGCCTCTCTGACCTCCTTGGGCATTGCACAACACAGGTGCACATACCTACACGCAGGCAATACACACATACACATAAAATAAAAATAATAAATATTCTTTTAAAAATTACTTCTTTTGCCGGGCATGGTGGCGCACGCCTTTAATCCCAGCACTCAGGAGGCAGAGGCAGAGGCAGGCAGATCTCTCTGAGTTCAAGGCCAGCCTGGTCTACATAGTGAGTTCCAGGACAGCTGGGGCTACAGGGAGACCCTGTCTCAAAAAAGACAAAAAAAAAATTCTTTTATGTGTGTTTTTTCCCACATATATGTAAGGGCATCACTTGCTTACCTATGGCCTGGGGAGGCCAGAAATGGGCATCGGATCACTTGGATCTAGAGTCCTGGAAGGCTGCTAGCCACTGTGTGGGTGCTAGGAACTGAACCCAGGTCCTCTACAAGAGCAGGCAGTGTTCTTAACCATTGAGCCATCTCTCCAGCCCCACTCCTGAATCTTGATCCATATTAACAGTTGGTGTAGCCAAGCATGGTGGCACACACCTTTAATCCCAGCACTCGGGAGGCAGAGGCAGGCGGATCTCTGAGTTCAAGGCCAACCTGGTCTACATAGTGAGTTCCAGAACAGCTGGGGCTACAGGGAGACCCTGTCTCAAAAAGACCAAAAAAAAAAACAGTTGGTGTTTACTAACTCCCTTTCTCAGGATGGAACTGTTTCTCCTCGGATGCTGGAGAGGAGAATTTCCCCCCTCAGCCACTGCACTGTGCTCCTCTTGCACTTTCCCCCCAGGAGAAAGACGATGTGTGGGACTCTGGACTACTTGCCTCCAGAAATGATCGAGGGGAGGAGCTATGATGAGAAGGTGGATCTCTGGTGCATCGGGGTGCTCTGCTATGAGCTGCTGGTGGGAAACCCACCCTTCGAGAGTGCCACTCACAATGAGACCTACAGACGCATTGTCAAGGTAAGATGGCCACACTGGCCATTCAAGGGTCAATGACCTCTGACTCTTTGGGGATTGGGGCAGGTACAGAGGATTATTTGCTAATACCCAGAAGGGTGCCTTGAAGAGACTCACAAAACAAAGAGAAAATTAACCACAGAAATTAACCAGACTCATTTTCCTTCCCGGCCTCCTCAGGTAGATGTGAGGTTTCCTCCGTCAGTGCCTGTGGGGGCTCAGGACTTGATCTCCAAGCTTCTTAGGTACCATCCCTCGGAGCGGCTGACCTTGGCCCAGATCCTGAAGCACCCCTGGGTGCAAACCCACTCCCGGAGGGTCCTGCCTCCCAGTGGTCAGCCAGCTTCCTGAGCCCCACCCGCCTCCGTTCTGTTGGTTTAGGGAGCTCTCTGGGCTCTGTTACCTCATCTGTTCCTTCTGTTTTGTTTCCTTTAAAGATGTGAGTTAATAAAAACAATCATTTTATATCACATCTTTTTGGTTGCATGAGGTAGTATGTGATCGGGTAGAATCTTTTCAGTGTGTGTGGAAGATGTGTGCTTGCACATGGGGGATGGAGGCCAAAGGCCAACATTTGGCATCTTCTTCAATTGTTCTCACTTTTTTTGAGACAGGGTCTCTCTACTGAACCTGGAGCTCACCCATTAGGATACACTGTCTGGCTAGTGAACGCCAGGGACCCTCCCGCCTCTACCTACCCAATGTTGAGATTACAGATGCAAACCACTGTACCCAGCATGTACGTGTATGCCTGGGATCAAAAGTCCTCATGCTTATGCAGCAAGCACTCTACCACTGAGCATCTCCTCAGCCCAGATTCTGTTTGGGTTTTTTCCTTCTCAGAAAAAAATTTCTAGACTATTTATCAGTGTGTGTGTGTGTGTGTGTGTGTGTGTGTGTGTGTGTGTGCCACAAGCATGCGTATGGAGGTCAGGACAACTTCCACAGTTAAGAGCACTGGCTGCTCTTGCAGAGGACCTGGGTTTGGTTCCTAGCACCCACATGGCTGTTAACAACCATCCCTAACTCCAGTTTCAGGGGATCCAACACCCTCTTTTGGCCTCCACCACCATTGCACACATGGCATACGTACATACATTCAGGCAAAACTCATATTCAAAATAAAATTTAAAAACTTTAACGTATCCAGGCATGGTGGTGCATGCCTTTGATCCCAGCACTCGGGAGGCAGAGGTAGATGGATCTCTGTGAGTTCAAGGCCAGCCTGCTCTACATAGCAAGCTCCAGGCTAGCCGAGGCTACAGGGAGACCCTGTCTCAGAAGACAAAAAGGGTTTATTTTGGCTCTCAGTTTGAAAGGTTTTATTCCATGTTCAGTTGGCTCCTTTGCACTAGGCTTTGTGACAGCAAGACAACAAGACATCAAGACCAGAATACAAAACAGATGAAGGGGTGTCCCCCTCCGCTATACCAGTAAAGGGCTTATCCCTCCACACACACCAAATGACTGGAGGATCTTTGCTTCTAAAGGTTTCTTATCGCCTCCCAAGAGCCCTAACCTGGGAATCTGCCTTCCACATATGGGACAATAGAGACATCAAAATCAAAATATGGCATGGGGGATATATGCTTAAATAATGAAAACTTTCATTATGTTTTATTACGTGGGTGTGGTGCATGCCATGGCACAGATATGGGAGGTCAGAGGACAATTTGTGGGGAGGCAGGTAGATGCTCTTTCCTCCATGCATGTCTCTGGGATCTCACTCAGGTTGTCAGGTTTGAGGTCCCAATAGTAAAATCTAATATACTTCACATTAGGGTTTTCAAATTGAGTCCAATGACCAGAAAGCTTTCTTACACTGATTCCACATAGTCTGACCTTCCACAACACCAAGAATCTAAACATCTAACTGGGTGTCTGTTGCACATTCCAACTCTAAACCAGCTGATTGGATCCTGAAATTCATCTGCATGTGAAAAGGTGTTCCTAGCACATTAGTTCCTAGCCCCATTTCTCCATAATCTTTTATAAACATTGTGTAGAAATTCGCTCTGTCTCTCTTCCTCAAGTCAGTTTACATTGTGCAGAGATGTTTTTCTCTACTTATAAAATTTAGTCTCATAATATCTTTGTGCTGGGGATCAAAGTCAGGGCTTTCTTTACCCCATGCTAGGCAAGTGCTCTGCCTCTGTGGTATGTTCCCAAGACCAACCCCCCAATTAAAAATATAAGACAAAAAAGGCCTGGCAAGATGGCCCAGCAGGTGAAGGTGCTTGCCACCAGGCTTGATAACCCGAGTTGATTCCTGGAGCCTACACACAGTGAAAGGTGAAAACAGACTCCATGAAGCTGTCCTCTGACTTTCACACATGTGCTGTGGCACTTCCATGCCCATATACATACAAAATAAATCAAAGAAGGAAAAGGTTATCGAGAGTCGTTACAAGTGTATAAGTCGGGGGTCCACTGGCACAACGTTTCACATCTTTACACTTCTGATTGGAGGCCCCATTACCCGTTGAAAGAATGGCAGGCTTCCCTCCTGTGTTGTGTCCACTATAATAGGGTGAGTCTGAAGATAGGCCTGGTGATCCATGCCTGTGATCTCAGGTATTCAGGGGCCTGAGACAGGTGGATACAAATTGAAGGCCAACTCTGGCAAATTAGCAAGGCTCTATCTCAAAATTTCAAAGTAAAATAATTAAAATTAATAATAACTAATAATGATAATGATGATGGTGATAATAATTAATAATAACATTGGGTGGGTCTGAGACAGGATGCTGAACCTGTGGTGTCTTAGGCAGTCTCAGAGAAGCATCCTGTTTTGGGCTGTCAGTAGAGAAAGAACTACATTGCCCAGAAGGCACAGCACACGAGTCTGTGGCTTGCCAATGAAGTGTTAGGCAGGGGTGGGACTTCCGTTCAGCCGTGTCATGACGTCATTTTGGCGCGTCGGCTCGAGCTACAGCCACTTTAGCAAGCGGAGCTTCGTTCTGCCGCCGCCTCCTGGGTGTCACTTCTGACCAGAGCGGGACAGAGGCGAAGCTTGGCTGTGGCGCGGTGAACGGAGCCTCGAGCCCGGGCCCGGGGCAGGGAGGAGGAGCTGGGGTCTGCCGACCCCGCGGGGTCCCAGGATGGCGGCGGCCCTGATAGACCTGGGGCAGGTAGGTTGACGGAGGTTTTGCTACCGAGATTGCCTTTGCAGATGTGTCTGTGTACGCAAAGAGCTGGCTGATGACAGAGTATCTCCAGTCCTAGTACCCGAGAGGGTCATTACACAGGTGGCTAGTGGCGACCACACCTAAGCCATCTGTAGCAGCCTTGTCTGTAGCAAACAGACTTGGAGGCCAGCCTGCGCTAAGTCATACTGGTAGGAAGCCAGGTAACTTCTCCAACAATAGGCCCCAAACATCCAGGACCTGGTTTAATAACGGATCCTTATTTTCATATTTTTATTTTTTTATTTTTTGTGTGTGTATGAGTGTTCTGCCTGCATATAAGTGCACCATGTGTGTGCAATGCCCATGGTGGCCAGAAGGGGGCCAAGGAATCCCCTGGAACTGGAGTTATGGATGGTTAACTCCCCTTGTTAGCCGTCATGTGGGTGCTAGGAACTGAACCCAGGTCCTCAGCAAGAGCAGCCAGTGCTCTTAATCCCTGAGCCATTTCTCCAGCCACTACATTGATTTATTTAGTGTGTGTGTGTGTGTGCACGTGCACACGTGTGTGGAGATTGGAGGACAACTTTGAGAGTCAGTTCGAGCCTACCACCATGTGGTCCCAGGAGATCAAACTCAAGTGGTCAGGCTTGGCAGCAAGACCCTTTCCCTGCTTAGCCATCTCTCCAGCCCATACTTTCTTTTTTAATACAGTATAGTACCCAAACCCAGGGAATGGTGTTGCCCACTTTTAGATTGGGTCTTCCAGGGTCAGTTAATGGAATCAAGACCATTCCCCTCCCCTCACACACACAGATACACCCATATGCCAACCTGATCTATCTAGACAATCCTTTGAGAGTCTTCTCAGGTGATTGTAGATGGTGTCTAGTTGACAAAACAGGCGATCCCTTGCCCCAAACAGCGTCTCTCTTCCCTTGGAGCCCAGCAAACAGCATAGCCGAGAGGGTCTGCTGTGCAGTTTGGACCTTTATCTCGACCTTTCTGAACAAAGCACACATGACAGTCTGTCTAACAGCCTGTCTAATCTATTTGACTCTTTAGGCAGCTTTCACCTTTGATGATGTGGCAGTCACTTTCACCCAAGAGGAGTGGGGGCAACTGGCCCCAGCTCAGAGGACCCTGTACCAGGAGGTGATGATGGAAAACTGTGGGCTTCTGACTTCTCTGGGTAAGTCTGATTACCTCCCCGTTCAGTGAGTGGGTCATCTGCAGGCCTGGATGGTCAAGGTCTCCGAACCCACCTTCCTTTCTTTCCACTGCTTTGGTCATTTTCTAGATTCATCTCTTCCTGAATGGACTGCCTGTGTCTCTTTGGGCAGGAAACATAATACCTCTAGGCACCAGGGTAATATGGAGAAGGTGGCACAGTTCCTTGTCTGTTATGTCCTGGCTTCTGTGGGTCTGTCTGCTCATGTCACTGTAGTTGGATTTTTTTAGTATTTTATTTATTTATTATTTATTTAATGTGTATGAGTGTATTGCCTGCAGGTATGTACGTGCACCCATGTTGTGCAATGCCTGCAGAGGTCAGAAGCCATTGGATCCCCTGCAAGTATAGTTACAGACTGTTGTTAGCCGCCTTCTGGGTGCTGGTAACCAAACCTGCGTCCTCTGCAATAGCAGCCAACACTCTTAACCCAATGAGCCAACTCTCCAAAAATCAATCACTGTCTTTTAAGAAGGCTTTTGGATCCTGCCATGGTGGTGCACTCCTTTAGCCCCAACACTCAGGAGGCAGAGGCAGGCGGATCTCTGTGAGTTCAAGGCCAGCCTGGTCTACATAGTGAGTTCCAGGACAGCTGGGGCTACAGGGAGACCCTGTCTCAAAAAAAAAAAAAAAAAAAAAAAAAGATTTGCGTTTGTTTTGGTTTGGGTTTGGGTTTGGGTTTTAATTTATTTTTATTTTACATGTCTGAGTGCCTGCATGCATGTGTGTAACTGCACTCATGTTATGCAATGCTGGCGGAAGCCAGAAGATGGTGTTGGATTCCTTGGAACTAGGATGGTCATTAGCCACCATGTGGGTGCTGGGGACTGAACCTGGGTCCTCTGCAAGAGGAGTTGGTGCTCTTAACAGCTGAGCCATCTCTCTAGCGGTTTTTGGTTTTGTTTTTTGAGACACGGTCTCACTGTAGCCTCAGCTGGCATGGAATCCACTGTGTAGACCACCCGAGAGATCTGCTTGCTTCTGCCTTCCAAGTACCAGGATTAAAGGCATGCACCAATATTCCTGGCTAAGAAGGTTTAAAAGGAAACTATTTGTTGATTGATTGACATTTATTGGTTAATTCTGTGATGTGCTCCATGCCATGGCCCACGAGTGGCAGTCAAAGGAAAAACCTTCATAAGGCAGCTTTCTCCTTCCTCATATAGGCAGGGCCTCTCTAGTTTCTGCTGCTACTCTGTACATAGGGTAGCTGGCTGCCAGCTTCTAGGCTATTCCCATCTGCCTCCAAAGTTGCCATAGGAATGCTGGGATTACAGATGCTTGCTTCTCTGGCTGACATTGTGGTGGGGGAGGAGCTCTGGGGTGTGGTCGCCAGCTGTGGCGGCTCTCCTCCGGCTATGGCTGCTCTCCTGCTCTCTCAGTTCCTCCGATCTGTTGTCTGGTCCGGACCCCAGGGCTGGTGAGTGTCACCACGTTCAGATGCAGGAGACCAGGTTCAGTGACATAGATCTGCTTTATTGCGAGAAAGTACAGGCTTATATAAGGGTAACAGTCCAATCGCAACACAGCATATGGGATCCCTTATTAGCATAGCAGACTAGTATCCTATTACACTCTAGTGGGCCAGATGCCCCATTAGAAGCAATGCATTCCAGCATGATAGGTATGTAAGTCAAAAGGCAAAATCATTCACAAGATTTTCCACAACATCTTTCCCTATTTTTTCATTTTAAAGAGTGAGGCACAGTTCAGAATATATACTGATATCAGTCCAGGGGCTGTATATGGCGGCATAGGCAAGGGATTGATCCCTATTGTGGGCCCCATCCTTCAAGATGGCAAGTTCTCTCGAGAGCAGGCTGGGCCAACTCCATGCCAGCCAGTGGGAGTCGAGGTTCTTTGCCTTGGCATTGTTGTCCCTACCTCAAGGGTCACCCAGCATTATGGACTGTGCCTGTCTTAGGTTGTCCCATATTTTGGAATCTTACCCGTCATTGACTACCAGCCCTTGAAGGGTGAGTCCCTTGGTATGGTCTGGCTGAGGGAGAGACAGGGTATCAAGGTTTGGCCTGTGCAAAGGCTTCTTAAGGAGCTAAGAATTCAATAAAAGTCGATGGAGTGGGGTTGTCCTGTCTGGGGTAATGATGCAGGGGCTAAGAATTCAATAAAAGCCAATGGAGTGGGGCCATCCCATCCATGGTAATGATGGGGATCAGGGAGTGGCAAGTTCTAGGCATCAGTCTCACAGTCTGCCAACAGGAGTATATCGCAAGGTGTTTCCTGTAGCTCCGGCAGTTGGGCCATTGTCTCAGGTCCATTGCTTGGTTGTTCCGTAAGACTTTACACCTATGCTCAAGTCTATTTTTCATATCTCTATTATTATAGGTTGGTAAGGGCAAGGAACAGTGGGTCCTTGTTTGCAGAGACATGCCTGGCAAGATCTGGAGGCAGGGCAACAGCTAACTGAACCAGAGAAATACGAGTTTTAACAAAATTATCAAGACCCTTAACAATGCAGGGTCCAAAAATCAGGAGTTAGCAATAATGATGGCACACATAATAAGGAACACAGATAAAGGTTTTCCTCTGGATTGCGGACTTAGCTTAGCTAATGTCTCTGTTTGTGGAGAGAGATGTTCGAGGTCTCCCCAGGTTGGTGGCTTTTGTGGTCTGCAAGATTGGTCTCTCGGTGGTTGAGGGGTATGCTGCTTCCTCCAGGGTCAGGGCTGCCATCTCTGGGGTCAGTGATTGTGGAGGGAGGTTTTCCATCACAGGCAATTCTGATGTTCTGGGCTGGGATCTAGATGGGGGCTGGAAGATTATCTGGAAAGACACAAGCGTAGTCTTGCCCTTGTGTTAATAATAGGTGTGGACCTTACCATTCACTTGTGAGAGGGTCCTTCCCTCTCACCATGGGGGCAGGAGTGGGCTGAGTGAACACCCCCCAATGCTTTATTGCTGGTGGGAGGCCATTGGAATCAAATTTTAGAAAGTTTGATACAAATAGAGCTTGTTTTATAACAAAATTGGGGTCCTTATAGCAGGGTCCTTTATCATTGTCTTCCCCTATTTTCTGTATTTGTTTAATGAATGTTTGGTGGGAACGTTCAACAATCCCTTGACCCTGAGGATTGTAACGGATACCAGTTATATGCCTAATATTCCAGTCAGAGCAAAAATGGCTGAAGGTGGCAGAAACATAACAAGGACTGTTATCTGTTTTTATTTGCCAAGGAATTCCCATAAGGACCATGGCATATTTGACAGTCCTTATGGCATGAGAAGCCGTCTCACCAGAGCAGGCCAACACAAAATGGCCATTGGAATAAGTGTCAATAATATGATGGACATACTTGAGCTTGCCAAAAGGAGAAAAATGAGTGACGTCCATTTGCCGTATCTTGTTGGGACCAAGGCCCCTAGAGAGAGTCCCGGAGGGTTGTAGTGGTCCCAGAGGTAGAAGAGGGGCACAAGAGGAGCAGGCACGGACCAAATGTTTACAGCTCTGAATCGGCAAGGTAGGGAGGAGCCTATGTATAGCTTGGGGAGAAAGGTGGAAGCGGGCATGTAAGTCTCTAGCTTGTTGAATTAGGGTGGAGTCTAGGGTGGCGCTCAGGACCAGTTTGTCAATGGTGGCATTGTCCTCTGCCAAAAGCCCCCGGGAGTTTGGTATGAGACCGCAAGTGTTGAATATACCAAGGGGCAGAGCGCTGCTCCAGTAATAGTTGTAATGAAGAGAGTAACAAATCAAGGGAACTCTGATGGGACCAGAAAGCTGCAGAGGCCAGATGTTGTAGAGTCTGAAGGAGTTTATGTTTAGGATAATGATTGTCATATTTCCCCTGATAGACTAGTAGGAGAGTTTAGAGCCAGTGTTGTCAAGGAACAATGACTGGAGCATGTGAAGTGGAAGGGGAAGAACCAACGACTCGGGTTCACGGCCATACAGAAGGCGGGAGGTGTGGACAAGTTTAAGGGCTAGTATAGCCCATGCCTCAATAGCCGAGGTGACCTTGTGAAGTTGACTCCATGAAGAGTGGACCCATATCAGGGGGCCCTGGGGCTGCCAAAGCACTCCCAAAGGGGGGTTTTTAGCAGGAATAACTAGTGCTTGCATTGGCAACTTTGGCTGTATAGGGAGAACCAGAGCTTGGATGAGGAACTTTCGCTGTATTCTATTTATAATTGCCTGGAATAGGCACAAATCGATGATTATAACAACACGCTGTGCTTTCGGAGAGACCTTGTGGGGAATGGAGATCATGTCAGTACCCCACAAGAGGTCAAAGAGCAGTGTAAGCTCTTCTGTGGACATGGGTAAGAAGCCCCATATCCAATTTGATGTTGCCACAGGGGGTCTGCGCCTCTGAAAGTGTAATCTCATCTGGTAAGGTAAGAACAGGAGGTATGGGCCGGGTGACATCTTGAATAGAGTGGCCCTAAAAGGTATAAGGGGCATGTAACTGTATTTTATCTGTTGCAATAGTAAGACCTAATGCCTGGAGGTTTGTTTTGAGTTTTGGAAAAGCTCCTTGTAAGATCTTAGGATCCTTATGGGTGATAAGAATGTCATCCATATAATGTAAAATATAAACCTCAGTCAGCAAAGGTCTGCAGGCATGGGCCACATAATATTGGCTGTTTTTCATGCCCTGAGGCAAAACCTTCCATTGATAGCGTTGAACTGGAATGTTATGGTTAGTGGCAGGTATAAAGAAGGCAAAATGGGGCTTATCATCATGAAGAAGAATAGAGAAGAAACAGTCCTTAATATCTATTATAATAATTGTGCATTCTTTGGGAATAGCAGTAGGGTGAGGCAGTCCCGGTTGAAGGGTCCCTAACAGCTTCATATGCTCATTAATAGCCCTTAAATCATGTAAAAGTCTCCACTTTCCTGATTTCTTTTGTATAACAAAAATGGGAGAATTATGAGGACTAACGGAGGGCTCGATATGACCCAAGGATAACTGTTCCTGGACCAAGGAGATCAAATGAGC